CTCCTCTGTTCAGTAAGAACTTGATGGTATAATAGGGCTATAAGCCTTTTTTATTTACAAAAAAAAAGGATTAGGAAATAAGTCAAATATTGAAAATAAAGAATTAAATATTATTTATTTTCGATAAATCTACGCCAAAATGTCAAGTGACTTCAACATCCGAGCCAACTTATGTGTGCAACACAAAACATATATCCTCCCTATACATAAATGTGGTGAGTCTGACAGACTCGCATGATTCGGGATTCTTTGTGTCAAAATTTCATGCTTTATTGTTTGGGTTGAATAGATTTTAATTTAATTACAATCCAAAAATAATTAGGTTCGAATTACCATAAATATGTTGATTTATTTATGATCATTTTAGATGTATTAATTGTATTATAATATCATTTCTTATTATAACTATTGAATTGTAAGAGTATTTTAAAAGTTGATAACTTTTGTATTTCTTATCGGTTTCACATATATAATATACCAAATTAATCATCTTTTGATGAGTTTCGATTTGACATCCATATTGTATATATGAAATAAATAAATTATATTTATATTGATAATAATAATAAAAAATATTTATTAAAATTAATTAGAATAAAATTATTTCTCCAATTAATATATTTATGTTTAATGTATATGTTATAAGTTAGAAAAATTATTATAATATAACACATGTAAGTCGAACAAGTGATAAGTGTCATATTAAAATATATATAATATATATTTTTTCATAAAAAGTATTTAAAATTTCAACTATTTTTTCTCATTAATTTTAAATTCACTAGTAGAAAAAACGTTTTCTATAACAGGGTTTCTATAACGGGTTTGTTAAATCCGTTATAAAATTTAAGACAATGGCATTTTTGTAATAATTATGTTCTTTTTATAACGGGTGTCTATGAACTTTAATTATACCCATTATAAATTTTTCGAGTTCTCAATTATTTATAACGGGTATTTAAAAAACCATTACACATTATTTAGATTCTCAATTGTTTATAATGGGTATTTAAACAACTGTTAGCATAAAAATTAGGTTTATCAGATCTATTTCCAAGCTCACGTCTGTATCTTGCGCCTAACCGTACCTCTGCCTCTATCTCTCCCAAAATCACACAGAGTTGATAAAGAATTAATCTCCATCTCGCACAAAA